TGAAGTCATCACTGGGGTAGTTGAAAAGCAGGTAGGGAAGGGTGCTAGCCGGATCTGGGAAGGTTGTCTTGGTACCACCCGCTGGCGACACAGCAGAGGCTGGGGACACCCATCCTGGCCAAGGAAAAATGCATTGGTGGGTCTGAGAGGTGTTTAATACCACCCTCAGGGGCAGGTGTGTAGAGGCACGCACTGCATCCACCCAGTTCAGACCACAGACTTTGAGCTTGGGAAGGCCCCAGGAGCAACTGGCAATCTTAGCCTGGGGGCACTGAGGGAGAAACACTGGCTCTCCTTAAAGGGCCCCCACTTCTCCCCTCCCCCTTCCCAAACAGCTCAGTTTCCAGGCGGTGTCTGAGTTAATTAATATGGATGTGTAACAGCGCTGAGCGATCGATGAATCCTGCTGTGGGCAGATCCCAGCCTCAAAATTCGATTATACCAAGAAACTCAAAAAAAAAAAAAAAAAAAAAAAACGGGGAGGGTGGCGGAGGGCGACTAGCGGCCCTTTTCCTGAAAGTGGGCAGTGGGCTCTTGCTGGCCAGACCAGATCCCCCAGCTCTGGAGAAACCCACACACAGATATGAGCCAGTCTGGGAAGGTTCTGGGTTGGGGAACTGTGCGGGAGCCATCCGTCTTCTCCCTCAGACTGCTTGACTTGTGAAGTCCGCCCGGTCCAGCCTGCTTGGCCCCAGGGCCCAGGGAGAGAGGAAGCAGGACGGGCAGGGCACCTCTGGCTGGCTTTCCCATTTCTGCCCCAGCAGCCCCTCCTTGACTGCCTTCCCACAGCTAGGGAAGGGTTAAGGATCCCCGCCACAGTTATGGAGAGGAAGCCGATGAAATATGGGCCGCTTGGCACTCCAGGCCCTGCTGGCTTTCCTGTTTACACTTCTCCATACTTCCTCCCGCCCCTCGGCCACAGAGAAACAAAACAAATAACCTGATAAAACAAAACAAAAAAATCAAAATCAAATTGACCAGTGAGGGGTGGTCAGACCAGCCTCCAAGAGAAAAGGGGACCTGCTGCCTTAATCTCCTCCTGCTACAGGCCTCCTGGGGCCTCCCAGGCTGAGGGTGGGCTGCAGGGCAAGGTGCCTGCCTGGCTGCCCCAAGCTCGGAAAGTGAAGGGTAGGACAGATGGGGAAGAGGAGGGAGAGAAGAGACCTGGAGAAAGAGAGCGAGCTTTCTTGGAGGAGGAATGCCTGTCTGGCAAGATCAGAGGATGGGATGCCTTGGCAGCTCTCCCCAGGAACTGACCCGGGGTTTAGGGTATTGTTGCCCCCAGCCTGAGTCTCCCTTCCAAAATCTGCAGGGATCCACGGGAGAACTGTGCCCACCCCCCTCCCCACTCCCTGCTCCAAGGTTTGTGTCAGAGGCATAAGAGTGCCATCCCCATGCAGGGGCTGCTCTTCTCAGTCTGGAAAAATCTCTCCAGACATACCCAGCGGATGCTCCAGCGTGCCGGCCTCAGGCACTTCTTTATCTGAGTTTGCACAACTGACTTGTGAGGGAGGGGGAAAAAACAGGGGGACCCTGGTTGTCTTGGGGTTTGGGACTTCTAGGAAGGTTCTGGGGCAGGGAAGTGGCTCTAGAGAGAGGTGGGCATGGGGGCACCCCAGGAGTACAGCTCCCTAGAGGCCTATGGTGGGGTCCCTGCCCTGATGTGCTCTACCTGGCACCGCTCAAACTTCCCTCTCCATTTCTTCACCTTGTAGAGCACGCGAGCCTGGGCACTGCTTCACCTTGGCACTCGATCAGTATTTTAGACCAACCGTCTGGGGCTGGCAAATCTCCTTTCCAAGGGAGACCAATGCCCCATCATTCGTGGGGCAACATGTCCTCCAAACCAGGATGAACATTCCACATCTCCTCCTCTAACTCTGCTCTTAAAGCTGGGCCAGGCTCTCGGACAGGCCAGGGGAGTCCAGGAACTAGACAGTGATGCTCAGGATGGGGGTGGAGGGACAGGAGGCAGGGGCATCAGTCGGAATGTGCCCTCAAGGGAAAAAAAGGAGCCCTGAGCCTCTTCCTCCCAGAGATGAGAAGCACCTCAAGGTGCCACGCATCCTGCGCCAGGAGCTGCCTGGGGAATGGCTGCACGGGATCCAGACATGGTCATGGAGACAGCACACACGGAGGGCGTCCTTAGTTTGGAGGGGAAGAGAGGCCTGCGGCTCTCAGAAGAAAAGCACCTTTTCCTTGGAAAATAACGGGGGGCTCATATCCCCATCCCAAATTCCCCCCTCCTTTTTTTTTTTTTTTTTTTTTGCAAGGGGAGTGGAGAGGAAGCATGAAACAAAAGAACCTTTAAGAATCTGCCAGGGCGGAAAGAATGGAGAGAGGAGAGCACCTTCCCTGTCTTCCTCCAGCGCCCCAATCTCTCCCGACCTTTAGGGTCTGTGTGCCAAGGATCTACTCAAACCCTGAGTTCCTCTAGGCGAGGGAAGAGCTGTCTTCATTCTCCCTATGTGGGGCCACGAGTGGGGTTTAGAATCTGAGGGAATAACCCCCGCGTTCTGTCTGTCTCCTCCGCTGCCCACTTGGACTGCAGGAATGGAACAGAAAGATAGTTTGGGATCAACTGGCTGAAGTAGGGACCAAAGCCCGTTGCTTCCCACCCTGGAGACCCTGAGGAGGCCACAGAGAACCACAGACTCCCTTTTATGGGGTTCAAAGATTTGTGTCCCAGAGAGCTGCCCAGGCCAGGCAGCCCGCGGCTGCCACCTTCTCCGGATGCTTTTTCTCAGCTCAGACGGATCTAGATGAAAGTGCCCAGCGGCGCGCCCCCACACCCCCTGACAAATGAGTGCCATAAAGTCTCTGGGAAGACATCTCTGGGAAGATATCCAGCAGCGGCACCCCCACCAACACACACACACAATGGGGGCCCCCCTTTTCAGCAATGCACACCCCTCCTCGTTGCCCCCTAACTTTCCAGGAACACCAAAGGAATGTGGAAGCCAGGCACCCCCCACACACAAGTCTGCATATGCAACACTCCTACAAACAAAAACCTGCCCCCCCCCAGCCATCGCTGAGGCATCCCCCATTTCAGACACCCAGTTTCTCAGACCTGGGTGCCCAAGAAGACAGGCTCCATCTCACATCCATCACCCCCCACCTAGACCTGCAGGGAGAAAGGCAAAATTTCCGTCCCCCAAGTCCCAAGCAAAGCGAAAGCGAGCTGGAAGGCACTTACTGAGGAAGGCTGCGCCACTGCCTGCCTTCTGGGCTGGTCCGGCTGCTCTGGGCTGGGAGACCAGCGCTCACCTAGCTCTGCCCCCTTCCCCACCACAGTGAGCAGTTAAAGTGTCACTTAACATTCTGGAGAATGTGAAATATACCGCGCGGTGTCAACTCCCCAAAACCATAAAACTAACTTTATGGAGCTCACGTGACTTTCCCGAGCCAGTGAGAGGTATCTGCCTGACTTCTCGGCGATTTTTACGATCTAACTTCGAGATAAAACCCCTATCCATTTGACATCTAAATGTCATAGCGACTTTTGGGATAGTTTGCTATCGACCAAGGGGGACAAAGTCAAGGGGTGAGGGGGGAAGGAGGGCTGGGGAGAGCCTCTTGGACCCTGGGCTGCTTCCTCACCAGCCTCCCCCTCCCCCCAGTCCTGTAAGAAGTTGGGCCCAGCTGGAAGGGAGTGACCCGGTAAGTGTCCAGACTCGGCTCTCGTGCTCCGGGTGGAGGCTGACTTGGATGGAGGCGGACTGGGCCCTGCAGGGGGAACTAGGGGTCTTTCAAGAAGGACCCCAACTCCAAATTGAGAGGGGGCAGAAGGTCAGCTGGGACCACAGGAGAGAAAGAGGCCCCCGATACGTGTTGAGAAGGCTAGAGATGAGGCGCCTTTGAAAATGAGCTGATTTTTATAATTGTGATGGTGATGATGATGATGGCGGTGGTGATGATTTTGCCTTCTTTGGTGACAGAGCTGAGTCAGGATTTGGAACAGGGAACCAGGGGGCTAGTGGGCAGGCATCTGCCACTCTTCATAGGCCAGAGGCCTCCTGCTTGGGACTTGGGCCTGGATGGTTTTCCCCCCCGTAGAGGGTTTGCTGGCCAGTGGGGTGGAAGGCCACAAGATACAGCCCAGCTCGGGCCTGCCTGCAGCCCCCAGCCCTATGCTCTGCACAGGCCCAAGCACCCAGCGAGGCCAAGCCAGCCGGGGCCTTAGGTGGCTGGGAAGGACTGCTGACCACCATCTTGCCCTGTTTTCAGCCAACCCTGGATTTATGGAGAATGGGGGAGGGTGTGCCTGGCTAGTGCAGAGGCAGACCACCCCCTGGAGAAAAAGACCAGTGGAAGGGCAGTGGAGTAGGGGAAACATTTATTGGACTTCAAGGAAAGCTACAGACAAATACCAAAAGCGAATCAGAATCACTGAGGCGAGCCCGGCAAAGACAGCACAGCGTCCACCCGCTCCAAACAGGATCTTGGCGAGTGAAGTGGACCACGGGGAGAGGAGAAGGTGGGTCTGACCCAGACCCTCCCCATATTTACAAGCTGTGGGCCCTATAGCTGGACCCACACATTGACAGAGAAACCCACAAGACATTTCACACACGCAGGATGGGTTGTGTTTCCGCACGCTCCCACCACCAGGCCTCGCAGGGCCTACCCAGGGAAGCAACCACACTCCATCTTCCTACTGTCTTGTCCACATATCACCCCTTCCACCTTCCCCGGCCCCTACCCAGCCAAGGTTCCAGCCGAGGGGATACTGGGGGCCTGGGGAGTGAGGAGGGTGGAGGAGGAGAAGAAAAACCATCGTGGACTTCATTGGAGGCCAGATCCACTGGGCCCAGGGCGGCTGTGACCCGCTAGCTCTGACTGCCACCTCTTAGTGAAGTTTGAAATTTAAAAGACAGTGGTGGTCATCCTTTCATAAATAAGTTAGAACACAGATGGGGAGGGGAAAGTTCACATTTAACATGCGAATTTCTTTCTTTCTTTCTTTTTTTTTTTCCTGGAGCTGGGGAGTTGGGGAAGGCAAAGGAGCTGCAACCACAGACATACAGAAACACCAGCAGATTGGGGCAAGCCAGGGAAGTGGGGAGCATGGAGGGGAAAATAATATTATTATTAACAATAATAACAAGATAAACCAGTCCAGGAGAGATGGGAAGCCACAGGAAGACCTAAGACCGAACGAAAAATGGTCACACAAGGCCAGGGCGAGGCAGGCTCATGGGAACCGGTCCCCAGTGGGCAGGCGGCGGCGGCGGGCGCGCGCGGGGAGGACTTGGAGGGGCCGGTGGGGTTGGGGGGTGGCGCGGGCTCCTGGGCCGGCCTGGGGTGGGGGTTAGGCCCCCTCCTCCGGGCGGGCTCAGGGCTGGAAGGCGCTGCCGGCTGTGGCCAAGCTCATACTTTTCAGTTTGTTGTCTTTCTTCCACTTCATGCGCCGGTTCTGAAACCAGATCTTGATCTGGCGCTCGGACAGGCAGAGCGCGTGGGCGATCTCGATGCGCCGCCGCCGGGTCAGGTAGCGGTTGAAGTGGAACTCCTTTTCCAGCTCCAGCGTCTGGTAGCGGGTATACGCGGTCCGGGCCCTTTTCCCATCCGGCCCGGTCATATCTGGAGCAGACAGAGGGGAGCCATGAGATGCTGTTATTCCGGCTGAAGAGGGGGCCCTGGGCAGAAAGGAGGGGGGCGGGCAGAGAGCAGGACCCAGGCGTCCCCGGCACCCAGCTCACCCCAGCTCCACCCCCAACACCACAAGGCCCCACTAGGGTTCCATGTCTGCTCCCCCTGCTCCCGCAGCCCCGACTTGGGCGCGCAGCGAGCGTGCCCGGCTTTGTCTGCTATGCTCTCCCAGCGCCTCACCCTCGGCTGGGTTCTGAGCTCCCGGCGGCCGCTTACCCTGCGAGGGAGGAGAGCGGCTGCACTTTTGCCCTCGCAAAGCTCCTTTTCCGTTCACCCCCTCCTTCGCCGGCGGGGGTATGCAGGACCCTTTCCCACATTACGTAAACCCTAGCCTACATCCTATTTTTAGGATGGATCTGGCTGCACGCATAAAACCTCAGCGGAGCCTAGCAACAAATTCCTAAAAAGATCCCCCATACACACCCCAGCCAAAGAGCTTGTCTGGCTGTGTCCACGGAGCTGTGAGGACCCTCATAAGAGACTTCTCTCCCCACCTTGGTAAAAAATAAATCTATGTGAGGAAAACGCCAAGCTCTGCTCGCGACCACCACCACACCGCTCCCCCCCCCCACCAATCCCCTAACGCAGGGACAGAAAGCTGAAGAGGGGGGAAAAAAAAGCAGAATTACCATGGCTAATATGCAGCTTCCTCATCCAGGGGAATATCTGCGGAGTCTGCCCCTCGGGCGCGGCCGTGGAGGTGGCCATGGGCTCTGGCTGCGCCCGAGCCAGGCTGGGGCTGCTCAGCTGGCTCGCAGCTTCCTCAGGCTCCGAGGACGCGCTGGCCTCGTCTATTTCGGTGAAATTGGCGCTGGAGCTGGCCGGGGTCGCCTGGTCGGAGGGGGACGAAGCGGAGGGCTTGGCGCCGTGGCTGTCGCCGTTGGTGCAGGGCAGGGACTCGGGCGAGGACAAGGAGCAGCTCGACGCCGCCTGCCTGAAGCGGGGCTCCTGGGCGGGCGCGGGGAAGGCGCGCGAGCTCTCGCCCACCGCCCCAAAGTGGCTGGAGGAGGCCGAGGAGCGGTTGACGCTGAGGTCCATCCCATTGTAATTGTAGCCGTAAGAGCCGGTGTGCATGGCAGCGGGATCCCTGTAAGAGCCGCTCAGAGAGCTGCCACTGCCATAATTTAGCAACTGATAGTCCGGGCCATTTGGATAACGCCCCGAGAAGGAGTTTACAAAGTACGAGCTCATTTGGGTGATTTTGGAGGGCTTGATTTGTGGATCGTGGTCGTTATAACCCTGTGCTTCACGATTTATGATGTATTAATGAATTATAGCGATGCACTGTACTTCGTTTTGCTATGTATGCGGCCAAATATGGGGGGGGGGGAGTTGGAAGGGGGATGGGGGGCGTTAGGGAATCACGTGCTTTTGTTGACCAGTCGTAAATTCTCGCTGATGACCTCAAGAGGTAATTCATGCTCTATGGTTACAAATAATGACGATCCGAGAATCGTTAGGGCCGATTCAATGTGAGCCTCCGAGAGAGGGGGAAAAAGAAGGGGGAGAGACAGCGAGAAGCTTGGCGCCGGCCACTGAGCAGAGCGCGCCACCTCCCGGCGACCGGCGGCAGCGCGGGCCGCACACCGCCATGGCGGCGACCGCTGCCTTCCAGCTGGCGAGAAGGCGGCGAGCTGCGGCTCACCCGCAGGCTCCGACCTTCCGGAGGACGGCGTTCAGCCTTTTACCCATTTTCCTGGCGGCAGGATTCGTCCCTCGATTTGGGTCCTGCTCCCTGCATTAACACCACCACCACCACCACCATCATCATGATTTTAACTAGATGTGATGATCAAAGACGGAGTTGCTATTCCCTTGCCTGTTCTATACAAGTCCGGGACGGAGATGGAGGGGTGGAAGGGTTGAAAGTCGGGTGTGGACAGCAGTTATTACAAGAGGATCCCCACAGCCCCAGATAAGCCCAGCTTGGCCTGTTTCCTGGCCCCGGGCCCCGGTGCTGACCGGTGCGCAGCGCCCAGGCGGAGCTGGCAGCATTGAGGCCGGCTTGGAGCAGCAGCAGGAGACGCTTTCACTTCTCTTGGGGCCCTGGGAAGTTCGCAATCCTCTTGCTGACCTCTTCCTCCTTCTGAGCTTAGGCCTGGGAGTGGCTGAGCAAGGCCGGGATCCCGGAGGAGGAACAGGGGGACTGCGGCTCAGCGGCCTGGTGGCTTGAGAAGTCGGCGGGCGGCGGCGACTGCCTGCCTCGGCGCGGGTTGGGGTGGTACCGCGCGGGTCTCACCGTTTATTTACCACAGCACCCCCAACGCCTCCCTTGCCTCTTCTCCCAGGTGCAGGCTGCACTCGGGGAGGCCCCTCGCTGCTGACTGGGCCGTTGAAGACTTTGCCCAGCAGCCCAGAGCCTGCGCTCTGGGAAGGGGTGCGCAGGGCTCCGCCGCCCCGTGCTGGGCGCGGTGCTGAGCGCGCTGGGCGGCCCAGAGCCCGCTGCAGCTGGGCCCCTTCTGCCAGGCGGCTATTTTCTTTAAAAATAAAAAAGAGACAGAGAGGGAGGAGGAAGAAAGGAAAACAGCGCAGCTTGCCGCCTGGGTGACGGCGGGGGTGGAGAGAGAATGGGCTGTTCTGGGTTGAACCGAGGAGACCAAACGCCCCTTCGCCTGGCCCCGTGCCCTTCGCTCCGAAAGGAGCTGGGCAACGCGGTGCCCTTCACCAGTCTCACGTTCTCCACGGAGCTCCCACTCAAGGCCCAGAGACGCCAACAGTGGTCCCTTTCTTATTTAGTTTTGCTTGTCTTCTGAGCCATAGGCCAGGAACTGTGTGCCAAAGCCGGCAGAGACCCAGCTCTGCCGGCTGGCCAGGGGCCTTGGCCCGAGGGCCAGGAAAGAAAAGCTAGCGTAGCCGGCAGACCTCCTCCGCCCCAGGACTAGACTCTGCAGGGGCTTCAGGCTGGGCGTGGGGGTAGCGGTTCCTCTGGCAGTGGCCCGGTAGAGGAAAGGCCTTAGATTTAAAGGGAGGATCCCTGTCCAACCAGCCAGGTCTGCACAGGCCGAGGCAGGGATGACCTCCCCCAGGTGCAGTGGGGTAGGACCTGAGGAGGACCCTGGCAACAGACTTGATCTCATCCGTCCCTTCCAAGTCCCGAAAGCTGAGAGCTAGCGAGCTGGAGCGGACCAGAGCCCCCTGCCCCGTGTACAGCCTCAGGGAGGAGTGTGGCTGGGGGGGCGGGGATGAGGGGAGGTGGAGGAGAAAGAAAACATGGCTGGGAAAGATCGAGGTGATGCAGCGGCGAGTTTCCACGTCTTTATTATTATTTGTCATCATTATTAATAATATTAATATTATTACCGAAGTATTTCACGTCCAGAGCTAAGACAAGACTACAAACACAACACATAGAAAATTAATAAAATAGAACTTTGTTTTCTTCTGAGGCTCCTCTGCTGACTTCTAGGTAGTATGTGTGCCTTCCAGTGGCTTTGGGGACCGGGGGAGAGAGACGACAGGTCTGGGGAAGGGGGGGTCAGGGAGTCTTCGAGGTCCCTGCTGAGGGGACCACGACTCTACCATTGAACCGTGCACGGGGGTGGGAAGGGGGGGACAGAGACCGAGCGAGACGCGACGACGCGGGCAAGAGCGGTTCGCTTTGCTTCCAGGAGACGTCAAGTGAGTCCGACCCTCAGTTCTCACCGGGGAGCCAGCTGGAGGGGGGGCGCTGAGGCGGGGTCCTCGGGAGGGAGGAGGCGCTCGGGGTGCTGGGTGGGCTGTGGGGCGGCGCGCGCGCCAGGCGAGAGCTCTGCGGCCGGGGGGGCTGCCGGGTCCGGGCGAGCGCTGGGCCCCGCCCGTCGCGCGCCGGGTCCCCAAGCTCCCCCCGCCCGCAGAGCCATCGCGGCTCTCGGACGCCCTTGGCATCCCCACCGGCCTCTCCCTTCGCGTCCCCACTCCCTTCCTAGCACCTTCACTCGGCCGGCTTTTCTTCCTCCTCCTCCGCACTGAGTTGGGACGCGCTGAGCAGTTTGCTCTCCTTTTTCCACTTCATGCGCCGGTTCTGAAACCAGATCTTGATCTGGCGCTCGGTCAGGCACAGGGCGTGCGCGATCTCGATGCGCCGCCGCCGGGTCAGGTAGCGGTTGTAGTGGAACTCCTTCTCCAGCTCCAGCGTCTGGTAGCGCGTGTAGGTCTGGCGGCCTCTCCTGCCGCTGGGCCCGAAGGAGGAACCTGTTAGGCAGAGTGGAGACGCTGAGGCCTGCGGTCGTTGGGCCAAAAGCCCACCTCTCCCACTGGACCCTCAAGCCTGTCCCGGGATGCCCTCCACGCTCCGGGCTCCCGGCCTCACCCCCACTCCCCTCACCCGCCTTTCCCGCTGCTCCAGCGCCCCCTCCGGATTCCCTCCAGGCCTCCCAGGCCTGTGCCTTCTGTCTAGACTTTTGGTGGGGGGAGGGGAGGAGCAGTTGGAACTCCCACCTGAGCCGAGGGGGAGGGGTTGGCCAGGTGTGTCTTCCTGGCTGCGCCTTCCCTTCTTCCCATCCATCTAACTCCCGCACCTCACCCTCCCAGTGACAGATTCTGCCCCTTAATCCGTAATGACGCGGATCGATCCGTGCTCCGCATTAACAGCTCCTCACTTTCGTGTCCCGCTAATGGACACCAATTGGGACTTGAAGACGGACAAATAATCCACAAGCTGAGACCCAGGCGCCGGCTTCTCCCTCTCCGTCCACTCCTTCCTTCTTCCTCCCCTTCTCCCTCCCTCCTTTGGCTACCACCTCTTTCCCGAACCCCCAACCCCCCCACACCGCCCAGGGGAACTGGGTCGTCTGGGACACACTTAGCTCCCCCAGGTCGCTGTCACGCTGCTCCCCCCCCCTTGCAGGAATCATTCCTTTTGTAAAGGAGCAGTCTTTGGATAGGGGAGCAACCCCCCCCCCCATCATGGCTAAGGAGGAAGAAAGGGAAGCTGGGGGTGCAAAAAAAAAAAAAAGGCAGAGCCAGTGACTTTAACCCCAGCCGCCTTCCTGGCCTGGCCTGGCCTGGCGCCCCGGGAGAGCCCACACTCCCCCCACCAGGCTCCCAGCGCAGCAGGAACTTTGCAAACTTTGTAACTCCTGCAGCCAGAGACCCTATATGAGGGTCTGAGGGTGCCCCCCCACCCCGCCCCAGGCGTCCACCAAACACCCCACTGGGGTGGGGGCGGGGCGCGCCCTGGCTCGCTAGGTCTCCCGGGGTGGGGGGCCCGCGGGGGTCGCGGCGGCGGCGGACAGTGGCACTCACTGTTGCACGAATTCATCCGCTGCATCCACGGGTAGACCGGAGTGGAGCACTTTTGTTCCTCCGTCTCGCCGAACACGCTCTTGTCCTGCGCGCAGTCTGACTTCCGCGGCTCCGGGTGGAACGGGGGCGGCTCCTCGGCGCCGGAGAGCGCGCAGGCCGATTCCTTCTCGCGGTAGAAGGCCGGCGCCGGCCCGTAGTCGCAGGGCGCCGCTCGGCCGTAGCCGCCGCCGGCCGGTGGGTAATAGGAGGAAGCGGCAAAGCCCTTGTCTTGGCCCGGGCCCGGCCCGTAGGGTGCGGGGTAGTGCCTCAGCGGGTCCGCATAGCCCGACGAGTACAGCGGTAGCTGGCCCAGGAAGGACTCCTGCCCGCTGGCCAGAGTGACGGGGAAGGGGGAGTTCACGAAATAGGAACTCATTGGGAGGGGAGGCGCGCGCGGCCACTGCTGCTCCGCCGGGTTTATGATTTGTTGTGTTTTATAGTCCGAGCGCCGCGCCTATTAGTAGTATATCCGAGATTGGGTTTTAGCTGAAGGGGGATGGCGAGGTGCCAGTGAGGGCCAGAAGGAAATACAACCATCTGATCCAACACTGACCAATGGTAGAGTCAGGAATTGTCAAATAGCACCCAGGAGGAGCGCAGCCCGCACGAGGGACCCGCGCACAAACCTATCAACCTTTTTTCCCCCTCCTTTCTCTCTCTCTCTCTCTCCCTCCAACACAACACGTCCGCGTCCGGTGCCACCTACGTAGGATCTGCAAAAGAAGCGCCTGTGCCTTTGAGAGAGGAGGCACTGAGACCACCCCACTCCCCAGCGAGGCAATAAATACCTCCCTCCCCCACCCCACCCCACGCAGGATAGGGAAAAGTTAATTGTGTTTTCAGCAAAGTTAACCCCTGCATTGCTTGGGCCCCTGCCTTCAGCGGAGGGGTGAATAGCTCTCCCCCCAATGTTGTGGAGGAGAGAACGGGAAAGCCAAGTGGGTCGGGTTCCGAGGGGTGGTGGGTTGCAGGGAGGTGAGAAGACTTCTCAATTGCACCCTCTGCAGAGAGACACCGTCCTGCCGAGGATTCGGTCAGCAGCCTTCCCTTCCTCTGCATCAGATCCTGCCTCCTCCCCTGCAGGTTTACGTCCATTATTCCTGCGCACCCACAACTTCTAGGAGCGGAGGGGCAAGCCAGATCCCCCTGCCTGGGAGAGCGGGGCTCCGCAGCTGCTACTGCCGGCTGGAGGGCCTGAACCCAGCTAGCTCCTTCACTCTGGGGCTGGGAGCTTTTACTACGGCTGTGCGGGAGTCTGCCCAGTCCCCGCGTGCAGCCACTCACCCCAGGCAGCAGAAGGGGACTAGTTCTCCCCCACACAATTCTGGGACTCTGGGGAGGAGCCCCTCACCCCTAGCTCCATGACTTTATCTGATCTGCAGTCTCCTCCTTGCAACCCTTACTCCATTCCCACTTCCAATCCCAAGACAGAATATCCTGGGCTACAGCTGTTTAAGGAAGCAAGAAATCCCACCATGTCCAGGTACAGAGTTGGGGTGAGAGCGAGGATTCCTTTTCCCAGTGTGGACCCGCCTCACAGCTGTAACCAGGACTGCCAGCAAGAGTGCTCCAACCCCCTCTCCAGGTCTCCCTGGAAGCTGAGGGTTCTTTTTAAAATCCACTTATTCCCAAGCCTCGATTTTTGACAAGGCGGGGGTGGGGGTGGCCTGGTCCTTCTGGGACCTCAGCAGGCAGTGTCTAGCCACCGGTGCACACTCCGGCCCTTCTGTGTGACTCACAGCATCTCTCCAAGTCCCTCCCACACCCCACATTTGTGTCACCTGCCTCACTGCTGCAGAGCAAGCTTGGGTGTCACATAGAATTGTCTCTGCCTCTCTCTCATCCAGAGAAAATGAACACCAAGCTCAGGCTGGAGCCAGAGCTCCTAACGCTTTCCCAGCAATCTAAGAGGTGCACATAAGCCAAGAAATGAAGGGGACCCACTGTCCAGGCAGAGGCCAGGCAGGGGCCAGACAGGGGCCAGGCAGGGCCAGGGGATAAGACATCAGCTTGGCCTGACTGTCCCCCACCTTGTTCTTTGGGAGGCAGTTCTGCTTAGGGCTGGGTGGCCCATCGCCCCAGACATGGTGGCAGAAGGGCTGAGGTTGGGTGACAAATTGCAGGCTCCAAGGATGCCTGGACTCAGACCACCTTCTGGGCTGTACCTTCCTGACCCAGTGGCCATCCCTGGATGGCTCTCCAATCCCTTCCTACCCTGCGGGACCCCTGTGGGAGTTTCTGATGAGTATTGAAAGAAAATATCTCAAGGACCCCAGGGATCGAGAAGTTAGGATGCCCCCACTGAAGCTCGGGTTATATGCAGAGCAGGGGCCACTGAGCAGTGAGGTGGTTAACAATGTGTGCACCTCTCTTCCTATCTGGGCCTCAGCCCTCTCCGGCTGCGAGCAACGTTGTCTTCCCTTTGGACTGTGGATTTAAGGGAGACGCGGGGAAAAGTCTGGATGTCTTTGCGGGTGATGGAAGCAGTAGAGGACTCGCTGTAGCCTTAGCTATCATCTGCAATTTAACCTCGCCTCTGCAGGTTGCCTGTCGGGAGTCGGAGCCACTGCAGGCAGGGCCCGGGTGCCTGGAGTCGGGCATGAAAGGAAATAGCGCCTCATCGCTCTTATCTAAGCCCAGAGGTATTTATGAGCGTTTATTCGTCTGATCCGTTTGTTTGGGAAAAAGAACAGGCAGGCAGGCAGGGCTGGGCCGGAGACCCTGTGGTTCCTGGAGCCAGGTCTCTTCGAATCTGTCTGTAGTTCCATCCGCTGCTGTCTGTCTCCACAGGGGAGCATGTCAGTGCGCGCAGGGCGCACCACCTCCCGCTGCTCAGGGGCGTCTGCCGGCCTGTGAGTGCCCTTCCGCCCCAGGGATGCGCTCACCGAGCCCCAAGCCTTGGAACGGGCTGCACAAGGCTCCACTGCACTTCCCACTGTGGATTTCCACATTGACCTGTGGAGTGAGCACACGCGCCTCGCAGCTCCCGGGAGAATGTTGCAGGAATGGGATTCTCCTCCCTGGGAGGGGTGCTGGCCTGCGTGTGTGTGAGAGCTGAGGTGGGGGTGGAGAGACGTCAGCCAGGCCTCCCGTTTTCTCTAAGAACCAAGCTCCTTCCCCGGCTCTCTGGGTGGCAGACCGCTTCCCACCCGCCCACGCCCAGCTCCCCAGAAGAGAACATTTCACAACAGTTCATTTCTTGGGCTCAGGTGATCTGTTCTCGCTGTGCTGGCTCCCCTAGGTGAGGGGAGGCTGCTTGCACCCCAGAACACTTTGGCCCTAAAAATGGACTTGTCCAAACCGAGGTACAAAGACTTCATTTCCATTATGCAAATGAGCGGCATCCTCTCATCTCCGGAGAGGAATGGGCAAGGGTGGCCGGATCTGGCCTGCTCTCCCTATCCTGTTCCCCGCCCCCTCCCCGCCCCCAATCCACAGGCACCCCGAAAAGCCCTAGGATGTTTCATTTCTTTATGCTATTCCCTCTTACTCTCCCTACCTGCCTTTCTCTTTCTGCCTGAAAGAAAAAAAAAAAAAAATGTCCCCCAGGGGCCTCCGGCAGAGGCTCTGGCTGAGCCGGGCCTCCCAACCGCCACCAAGTCCCCGTCGCTGCGGGAGGGGGTGGGGAAGGGCTGCTCCCGAGGCCCGGCCTCCACGAGGTGCGGTCAGTGGCGCGTGGGGCCACAGCCCCAGGGCTCGCTCCTACCCCCCACCCCGGCACCGCGGGGCCCCTCGGCTCTCAGCAGCTCCCAGTCACAGCCTGGTAACCGACCCCTCAGCCTGCTTGGCACCACGGGCAATTTCCTGGAGCCCCCCGCCCTGGAGTTGGAGCCACAGCACCTTGAAAGGAGCGTTTCCTCTTGCGGCCTGAAAGGCCGAGCTAATCAGTAACCCATGATACGGGGCCAGAATCCGGGCGCGGCGGCGGCGGGGGCGCGCCCCTGGCCCTCGCCCACCCGCTCGGGCGGGCCGGGGGTGAGGATCGAGAAGACCCGTAAAGTAACAGGGTTGGATTTCTGAATCATCTCTGTCCACTCCCAACTTTTCCCCTAGACACGCGTTAGCGGCGATTTCGCTGGAAACGGTGGTGGATGGGGGGGAGGGGACGACGCTCATCGGCAGACACCAATAGTTTCCAGAAAATTCGGCCTAATTCCTTCACCAAGGACACACACATAACCCCCCCCCCCCCCCCCTTCCCCCCCCCCCCCCCCCAGCCAACTGCAAGAATACAGGCTTGGTTTGTCTTTTGACAGCCGAGTGGAACTGCCGGCCCCGGGCGCCTCCCCTGCCGGCTGCCTCCCTTGGCTGAAAAGAAAACCAAATAAACCCGGAGCAGCCTCGGCCTGGGATCCCTCCCGCGGCCCGAGCTTGGGCGGCCGGCCGAGGAGGGGGCCCCCAGGGCCTCGGGCTCCGTCCTCCCCGAATGCGCCCCTGGGAGGGACGAGCTGCTCGCTTCCCGGCTTGGCCGCCGCCAGCTTTGGGGTGGGAAGGAAGAGGGGAGGGAGGGGAAAGGACAGCGCGGGATGGGAGACTGGCTCCGAGCTCCGAGGCACATCTTGGGGCCCCAGGATCCGCTGCAGGGGAGGGAGGGGCGGGAGCCCCCCAGCCCCGCCGAGCCCGCGCGCCCCCGGCCAGGGCTCCGCGCTCGGGCGGTGTCGAGGGGCCGGCGTCTCCGGAGCCGCGTGTCTCGGAACGGACGGTAGATGGCAGCAAACCGCATAATTTGGGTCGGAGCAAACCGGACGAGGGACGATTTATAACCAACCAAGACCTCTGGAAGAAAAAGCCTTTCCATGTTCCGAGTGCGGTCGGGGCTTTTCCCTTAGGTGAACAGGCCCCCGAGGGGTGCCGTCGGGGGGCCCCGCATACAACGCCTGGGGTTACGAAGCCGAAGCCGGAGGCTCCGTTCCCGCACCGGCTCAGCTGGCCTGCGCTCAAGGCCTGCACAAGGGGCCCCTGGAGACCCCTTCCCGCTCCACAAGTGGCTGCTGTCCTGCCAGCTCAGAACCGAGGGGTCGAACACGCCTTCTATTCCCCAAGACACAAACACGCGCGCATAGCCACGCAACCCGCTACCAGAGAGGTCTGAGAGCAGGCGGCCTGCAATGGGGCTTAAGAAAGATCAAAGCCATCACCCACGCGCGCAGAGCGACGCAGACCACAGCCTCTGCTGCCCGTTGCGGCTCCCGGTGCCGCCGCCCATCTCTAAACTGTTGGCTTCACCTCCACTCCTCAGTTCCTGCTCCAGGCCAAGCGCCTTCCCCCACCTCACCAGCTACTCCAGGAATTCCTGCCTCCTGCCCAGCGATTCCTCCCCCCACCCCAACACACACCCTGTTCCACGCCTGGAGACCCGTCTGGGGAGTGGGCGTGCGAAATCCCGCGCCCCGGACGCACGGGGCAAGGTGCCTGGGTTTTTTTCTCCCTTATTCTTGGCTTTCTTTCTGGGCTCACAAGCCTAGACACACCATCACGCTCCAACAGCGTCTTCGCAACCACTGCATTTGGGTGCAGGAAAGTTTGAGAGGTTCCCACGGCAGACACACACACGCGCGCGTGCCCGTACACGCGACGATGTCCTCCACCGAGATCCACACCCCAGCACCAGTTAACGCACAAACCTCAGACTCAACATGGCAGGGAAGGCGGCACGCGTGACCTACCGCATCACAACCACACCACTGCCTCCCCGCAGCGTGGGGCTCGCTCCCCCGCCGTGGGCGCCACCACCCACGCGCCTTCAGACATGTCTCCGAGGGGGAGATGCTGGACACCGCGGTCTCTGAATTGTCCTCTCTGTGTCTCTCCAGCTTCCGCGGAGACTCCCAGACCCTCGGGAGACCAGGACGTCCCTCGGCGGTGGCGGCGCCGGCGCCAACGCCCCTCCCGCCAAGGCTACCGGGGAAAACCGCCTTAACCCGCACCGGGCAAGAGACCTGCGCGCGGGGCAGCTGTGGGTAGGAGGATGCCGGGGCCAGGGGCAGGAGGTGGGAGGTGGGGGTGCAATCCACAGAGACCCCCAAGCCGCTGGCTTCTCCCTGAAGCCCAAACACCCCTCATCTTCTCTCCCTCTCCTCCCGCCCCCCTTGAGCCTTCCGCAGCTTAAAAGGGCAACTCCGGGGCCCCTTGGCTTCCTCCTCCCACCTTCCCCGCCTAGCCTCCCTCCAGGAAGCAGCCACCCCTCTCCCCAACGCCGAATTGCCGGGAAGCCTTGTCCCTGCAGCGCCCCAAAGATGGGGGATCAGCCCCCTCTTGAAGACATGGAGGAGGGGGGAACCCCAAGCCCCACCCCCTACAAAAGCAAGGCACAAGAATGAGAAAAGAATTGTAGAATCTCCCTTACCTTTGCCGACAGGGTTTTTCTTTTTCCACCCCTCCGGACGGAAAAGGGTGGGGAGGAAAGGGGAGCTAAACAGAGGCTTCCGTTTCTTCTTAGCTCCCAGGTAATCTTGGGCTAAACCGCGAGCCGTCCTTCCCCCTTCTCCGGCTTGGGAGAGTGGAAGGTTGGCGATTCTGACATTTGCATAGAAAATAGAGTAAGTTCTGTCTTTGAAAAATGGTATCAGGCTGTGGTCCTGGGCAGATTGTCCAATGACCCTTCATGGTGAGTAAAATCCCAGATCAGCAAGCAAATTAACTTAGGAATCAAAATTATTTCTGCTTCTGTCTTTTGTGTAATTCCCACCCCTCCTTCCCTCTCTCTCTCCCTCTCTCCTCTCCACTCCCCCCTCTTCCTCTCTCTCTCTCCCTCTCTTTGGCTCTATGGAGCTGATATTGAAGTATAAAAATATCAAGAGGCTGAGCCTGAAGGAGGACAGTGCTCCGACCTAGGTGTGGTGTCCAAAAGAATGCTGCATTATAACCACCAGGGAAATGATAAAAAGTTCATGTTCACGATCGCCCGGCCACATGACCGGCGCCGGCCAATCGCTGGATTCAACCACTCATAAACTTCTATCACAAAGTTGTAAATTTTCATAAAACAACAAGGAATTTATTGCATTTCTTCATGGCTGCTCCACCAGCAACCTTTTTCTCAGTCGCCATCTTCCTTTCTTCTCTTTCTCTCTTTTTCTGGGGGAAACCCATGCCTAGCAAGGGGTGAATTTTGGGGTGCAGGGAATCAGGGCACAGAAGCCCCCAGGGGCCAGTCGGGGGGGGGGACCGCCTCGTTTCCCACAGCAGCCCTGCCCCCCATTTCCTAGTAAAAATCACACTCCCTCCAAGCCTGGGGTGGGGATGGCTAGGAAGCAGTTCCGAGGGGAAGTGGAACAGCCGGGCCCTGGTTGCATCTGCATCGGTCAAAAATGGAAGCTGCCTCACTGCCACCTTCGCAGTCCCTTCTTTCCCTCTGTACCTGCTGGCTCACCCCTAGTCCCAGATACCCCCACCTACCCATCCAGGGCCTATTTTTGACCCCAAAGGAAAAGGTAGCTTGGATGGGGGTCAAAGCAGAATCTAAAACCGGGTTCTCTGCTTTACCCCTCAAAAACAGAGGGAGGAACGTGCCTGATTCTGGTATCTCTCCCTTCAGGGCCAGGCCCCAGGCGATATCCCTAAAACAGCTTCAGGGGATTTCCAAGGAGTTCTGCAGTCTGGAGAAGAACGCCCGGGTTTGAGTCCTTTTCCTTACAAATTCAGTTTAAACAGGGTCTCATAAAATCAACCTCCCACCCACCCATGCTGTCCCAGATCTACTTTAGAAACGAAAGCAATCCAGGGTTTGTAATCGAATAAATATTTAAAATCAGCTTTGAGAGACCTACCTGCAGAAAAACAGTGGGTGTCTCGGTTTTTGCCCTGCAATCAGGGGAGTGTTTTGGAAGCCACACACATAAAATCGCCACTGCTTCCCAGGGTCTCTAAAATCCCCCCTGTATTTTGACTCGTGCTCCCAGTGCCCAAAAGCAGGAAACGAAATAACCTCTCCCCAAACGTGTTTCCTTGTTTCGCCTTTCTCTCTGCTCAAGGGGAGGTTCCAAAGCGGCGGCGGCGCAGAGGAAGCTCCCGGCAGCGAGCGGCGCGGAAACTCCAGCCCGGTAAAGTTGCAAAGCCCTGCCTTTCGCGCCCTGGGCTCATTTGTCCCGCATCCAACCCGTGCACATGAAACATGTTTATTTGGGTCGCCTGTGTCGAATTAAAATTAAATAAATGTACGTAAGTGACATCAAAAATAAATTGCAACCAAATAACTGCTCTTTCGGAAGATGTTTGGGGAGCAAGCGAGCAAGGAAGCAGAAATTCGCAGACAGGCCCGGCCTGGAATGGGGGGGCTCCCTGAGGCCTCCCCTCCCCAGCCTGGCCACCTCCACAGACCACACCAGAGGCGGGAGTGGATTTGGTCGCTTCCTTCGCGAGGAGCCTAGCGCTGCGGATTCTGGTTTGGCGATGGCGTTGCTTCGTAGCCCGATTGCGAGGCTAGGGCAGCAAGGAAGAGAGGCCGTGCAACCTAGGGGTTTTCTGTTTGGGGGAAAAATCAATGTGAGACTGGCTTTGAGACGTTTCCTTGGGGGGCAAGAGTGGATCTGTGTGTTTTTCTACGGAGACATACGAAGGTGCAGCGCTGTTTATCCTGGCCTCTGCGAGAGCTGGTGAATGGAGGTGAAGCGCGCACACCCTGGGTGTGGCATGCAGATCCTAGGAAGGCCCAGCGCGACCATTTTAGAAACACAGGAATCTGGTGTGTGTGTGTGTGTGTGTGTGAGAGAGAGAGAGAGAGAGAGAGAGAGAGAGAGAAAGAGGGAGAGAGAGAGATGTGGCTGTGTACTTATTTAGACACTACGTGGGCCTGCAGATCAGTGTAATTGTGTACATTACGGTATGTCTGGTTGTGTGAAAGATCCTAAGGGCAAAGTGTGTGTGGGGTGGTGGGATTCGCTAGCTGGAAACCCCCCAGAGCAGGGGTCAACAGGACACACAAGGACATGGGTGGGCAGCGGAGGGATTTGGGGAGACAAAGAAAATATGGCATCTGCTGATTTTTTAAATTGCATTTTATTTTGTCATCCTTCAGGTACACACCGAATGTAAAGAGTCGGGGATCTGTCAGGAGAAGGCGCTGCGTCAGGGTCACTGGGGACAACGGGCCAGGACGTGGGTTCTGGGGGCTCCCTAAAGCCCCTTCAGTGCCACTACTGGGAATGGGCAGGTTTGGAAGGCAGGGGATGCCACACAGGTTAGTCCAGAACCACGGTCCACAGCGTCAGAGGGGAGCTTACAAAACAGCAAAATTTTACAAAGACGTTACAGCAGCAACATAGAAAACGGGGATGGATTCCAGAAAGCTACAGAACAGGTAGATCATGTCCTTCCCATATGGTGAAAAAACAAACTCGACACTATAGGTAGTATTTTTTTTTTTTTACAGTATTGAGGAACCAGCATCTCTCTTTTCTCTCTCGCTCTACACCACTTAAACATTGCTTTCACTTAAATAGAGCTGTTGCGATTTTTTCCCTATTTGATCTGAATTTCCTGGTTCAGTTCCCAGAGCTGGGCGTCTCCCTCGCTCCCTTTCTGTTCTCTCCTTCTGCCTCTGGCCGGTCCCTCACTCTTCCTCCTCCTCCTCGGCTTCGGCCTTGTCCTGCCCGTTGGTCCCTGGGCCCGCCGCAGACTTGTTCTCCTTTTTCCACTTCATGCGCCGGTTCTGAAACCAGATCTTGATCTGGCGCTCGGTCAGGCACAGGGCGTGCGCGATCTCCACCCTCCGCCGCCGGGTCAGGTAGCGGTTGTAGTGGAACTCCTTCTCCAGCTCCAGCGTCTGGTAGCGCGTGTAGGTCTGGCGGCCTCGCTTGCGGTCTGTCCCTGCCGGCGGGTTGTAAAGGAGAAAACTCAGGGGCCGCAGAAAACTCCAGAAGCTCCCCTGCATACCCTCCCCCGCTTAGAACATTCTCATCGCACCCATTTCTCCCTTCTGGTACCCAGCCCCATCCCTTCCCCTCCCTGTGCGCTACTGTTTTCTTTAAGCCTGCCTGCATATGGCCTCCCTGCTGGCTCCCCAGGCCATCATGCCCAATCTCCATCCTAGAAGTCTGGTTCAACCTGCTACACGTCTGTCTTGAACATCAAGGAGATCTTCCTCCCGGCTCCAGGAAGCCTTGCTCCTCAGGGGTCAATGTGAGGCGAAGGGAGAGGGGCCTCCATTTCCACCTGCCAGTAGGCCTGCCCCCTCTGGATACTGTCTCTGACCCTAAGGAATATTGGAAGCTGTGCTTGGGACCCTGGAAGTGTGTTTCCCAAGAACAGGAGACAAAGGGGTCTCCCGGGCTCAGCTTCCATCCCCTCCACACCGCACCACGTTGTGGAAGGAGGTGGAGGCAAGGATTGGCACATTTCCTTAGAGCATGAAGTAAACCCAAAGACAGCTGCCACTCAGGTCAGACAGCTCCGTTGACCAAGGCAACCTGTGTGGGCCTCCAGGCAGGGAGAGGCGGAGAGGAGGAAGTGTCCAGGTGGTGGATGGTGGGTGGCAGGCCCCCCCCCAACCTTAGGGAGAGGTGCTGGTGCCAGCCCTCCTGGGGGGCAGACAGATGGGGGAGGGCCAAGGGGGCTTATTTTCAAGTCAGATAAAAGCCAAACTGAAATGTTTATGAGAAGAAAAGTTGGAGCTTTGATAAATCAACTGGAAAGGCAGCTGAATTATGAAACAGGTAATGGAAACTGTGACCACCAATACTGATGGCGGGAGAGCTGGGCGCCTCCTGGCCACCAACTCTGGCTGCATTGCGAGCCTCAGACACAGATTTTGGTCCTTCTGAGCTGTGGAACTGACCCCCCCCCCCAACCACCTCCAAGTCCCATCTGTCTAGACCTGGCTGACCAGGACACCCCTCCCTTACACATGGATCCCCTGGCCTCTTGGTGTCCCAGCAGGGACTGTTATCACGGTGGCCCACACTCTGCAGCTTTGCTTTGTCTCCTCTCCCGCCCTCGCCCCAAGAGGAGGGGTGCCTTTCTGCAGGGTCACCTCTAAACTTGGTGGCCAGATGTCCAGAGGTGCCTAGGAGTCCTGGGAAATGTTCCTGAGGGAACGAGCTGTGGCTTCCAGCAGGCTGCTGACCGTGCAAGTTCACTGGGGGCGGGGGCTTCAGGGGCCGCGGCTCTGCCAGTCTCAGCACCCTTGCTTCCACCTGCCTGTCTGGTTTGGTGTCACTGGCTGGGTCCTGGTTTCCTCTCCCCTTCCTCCCCCTCTCCCGCGAGGCCTCTGGAGCCCACCTCTAATTGTCCTGATGGGAATCATGGGGGAGCCGGGTTGGCTGGGAAGGAAGGGGGAGGGGAGAGCTGCTCAGCGCTGTGGCCCCCTCCCCCATACTGGGGGTGGTGGTAGGGGGGGGACACACCCTGAGCCGAGTTCCCCGGCGGGGGGAAGGGAGGAGGGCGGAGGAGACCCTAATGGCTATTCTCTGCAAACCCCAGCCTTCCCTCGCAAGACAAACGGCCTCGTCTCCAGCCCGTGCCGGCGCTGCTGATAAATATTTAAAGCTAAAAGGCCAGGAGGCAGGGTTGGGGGGCGGGGGACGGGACGGGCTGGGGGCTCGGAGCGCCGCGGCGGCGTCGGTGGGCGAGGAGAGAGATCCGCCGGGGGAGGCTGAGCCAGCCGGAGAGCACCCCGCTCGAGTGGGGCAGGCGGGGGCGGTGCCCCGGGGTCCAGCGAGGTCGGGGAGGATGCCCGAACACGGGAGAACTCTGGACGCGGAAAGGGGGGGCGCCTTCTGGGGAAGTGTCCCCCCCACCACGGCCGCTGCGGCTCCAGGACGGCTCGTGCGCTGCGTTACCTGAGCTTCGCATCCAGGGGTAGATCCGGAAGTTACTCTCGGCCGCCAAGTCCGAGTCCCTCGGCTCCTTGGCGCCTGCCGCCTTGGCGGAGTCGCCGGGACACACCCCGGGGAGATTCTGCTCAAAGGGCGCGCAGTGCATGTTGAAGGAACTCGGCTCGAGCCCGTAGCCGGCCGCGTAGACGCCGGCCGCGCTCTGGCCGGCCATGCCCCCCCCGCCGGGGTACAAGCCCTGCACCGAGGCGGCGAAGCCGGCGCCCGAACCCGCTCCATAGCCCGGGCGCTGGGGGTTGGAGGCAAAGGCGCAAGAAGTTTGTTCGGGGAAGGCTCCGGTGGCGAAAACCGAACTTGCGGCTGGATATTTAGAAAATAAAGCATTCGCATAATACAATGAACTCATAATTTGGCCGGATGATTTGTAGGCAGGGACGTTTTAGTGTCGGTTTTACGAGATTCCTTGATATATTACAGAATTAGAGTCCAGATTTACACCAAAAAGGACCCCCTTTTTCCTCTCTGGGCCACGTGACCCCTCCCACGTGATGGTCCTCCCGCCAATGGCCGGACGGCCTCCCCACGGCTCCCCGGTAATGTGGAAAAAATTGTGTGGCGTTGGATTTATAAAATATGATCAATAATGGATGGGAGAGCCGAGCCCCGTGGCTTGGGGTTGGAGGGGGTCTCGGGGAGCCGCTGTCACCCGCTCCCCCAGGCTAGAGGCAGCTTGCAGGCCAGATTTGGGGGGGGAGGGAGGCGGAGGGAGAAAGAAGTTGAGTGCAAGTGAAAATAAATAATCTCGGAGCGTGCGATTGGGGGTCGCCCCCTCCCAGCCACTTGCCGAGCGCGTTCCCGAGCCGGAGACAAACGCAGGGGCGGAGCGCGCGGCCGGGTCGGCGGCTCGGGGACGGCGGAGGAGGCCCGGCCCGGGGCCCGGGGCCAGTCGGCCTGGTCCTCCCCAGGTGAGGAGCGGGGTGGGCCGCACGGCTCCCCGGACGCCCCCAGAAGACACACACGGAGCGAGGCTTCGCGGGCCTCCCTGGGCGTTGGGCACGGCGCTGTCTGGTGGCTTCAGAAAGAAAAAAAAAAAATAATAATAATAAAAGGAAAAGGTGGAGTGGGTGGGGGTGGGGAGAGAGGAAGGGAGGAGCGCGGCGCAGGCACGCTCCCCTCTCGGTTCCCGGAGGCGGATGCCCAGGCCGAGCGCGGCTGCAGGAGGAGCCCTGGCAGCCGAGGAAGGAAGGCGGCGAGCCACCGCCTCGGAACCGCGCGGAGGTGGCCACGTCCCAGGGAGGCCGAGTGAGGAAGGGCCTGTGCCCTCCCCTCCCGCTGCCCCCGCCGCAGCTGCAGAGAAATACAAATATCAGCGTGCTCAGCAGCCCCGAACTACACACACACACACACACACACACACACCCCGCACTCCGAGAAACAAAGAGGGGGTGGCGTGGCGCGGGGATGCAGCCAGCAGCCCCCCGGTGGCGCCTCTCCTCGGCGCGCGCCCTGGGTGCCGAGGTCTCCCGGGCTTGGGCGGCCTTGCCAACGCGAGGGGAGGGGGCTTCTCTCTGCTCCCCTCCCTCGTCCTTCTCTCCAACCAATCCCGAGCAGCCGCCTCCCTCGCCCCCTGCGCCCCTGGGCCGGGGGACTCGCACCACCTGCCGCCAGCCGCCCCCCTCGCCCCCTCCTCTCGCGGCCTGGCCTGGGCCGGCACAGCAGCAGCTCGGTGACCGGCTCCCCTACCCCATCACCTCCCCGCCCCAGCCCGCAGCCCCCAGCCCCCCAACCGGGCTCTACGAGGCGCGGGGCAGTGAGTGAGGAACGAGGGCCGGGCCGGTCTCAGGTTCTCGCTTGTAAACTTTATTGTAACTCTTCCGCCCTTTTCAGGCGCAGACAACAGAACAAAGTATAGAGGAACAACAAAATATATAATTAGCCCTCCCTCCCTCCCCCCCCATAAAGTAATTCACGGATACAGGATACATTCTCTTCACAGTAAACCTAAGAACACTTTTAACAATTGCCCACAGCGCGCATGCTAACTAAGGTAACCTTTTTTTTTTTTTTTTTTGAGAAACACTTAAGACAAAATTGTCAAACCAAAGGAGGGGAGGAAAAGAGAGAAGCAAGAGAGAGAAAGCCAGCGAGCTGGGGGGTGGGGGCGGCGGTGGGGACAGAGGAGCTGGGAGGGGAAATGAGGACGCGGCGAGAGAGAGAGAGAGAGAGAGAGAGAGAGAGAGAGAGAGAGAGAGAGAGAGAGAGAGAGAAAGGGAGGGAGAAAGAATTACGGCGTGAATAGGCAGTTTCATGTTGTTGGGAAAACTTAGCAGAAATCGGTACCTCGGTCATTACAAAGAAGCACGTTCAAAGAAAAAAAAAAAAGACCATTGCACAAGGAAGCTTTTTACAAGGGGGAGGGCGCTGGGGGGGCGCAGCCTGGGCCGCAGCCGCTCGCCCTCGCGGGGCGAGGGGGTCCTTGCTGGAAATCCTTCTCTTTTTTTTTTTTCCGACCCCCCACCCCCGCCCCAGGCCCGAGAGAAGGGAAGAGAATCCACGGCAGCTCACACACAGAAGCTATTACGAGAAACTACCACTAGCGGGGATTGGCGCGGCGGGGTCGCTGCGGTGGGAGGCCCCGGGCCCGCTGGCTCGCGGGGCCGGGCGCGCTCGGACGGGCCCGGCGGGCGGGCGGCCGCGGCCCTGGCAGTCCCAGCTGGAGCCCACTACTTCTTTTCAGGCTTCTGCGCGTCGCCCTCGTCCGCTGCCTCCGGGGCCCGCTCGAGCTTCTGCTTCTCCAGCTCCTCCTGCTCGCATTTGCTGCTGGGGAACTTGTCTTTGTTGTTCTCCTTTTTCCACTTCATCCTCCGGTTCTGGAACCAGATTTTGACCTGTCTCTCTGTCAGTCCCAGCGCGTGCGACACCTCGATCCGCCGTTTGCGAGTCAGATAGGGGTTAAATAGGAACTCCTTCTCCAGCTCCAGGGTCTGGTACCGGCTGTAAGTCTGCCGGCCTCGCCTGCGTCCGGCGGCTGCTGGGAAGGGGGGAAAAGGGCGAGACGGAGGGGAGGGGAGATCGGGGGAGGGGGCAGACACGGGGAAGGTTGGAAGATTCGTGAACCAGCCTAGGAGACCAGTATAATATTGGCAGGGGGACCTTCTTCCTGGAGCGAGGGCGCGGGGGTGGGGGGCGCCAGGAGGCCGAGCTCAGCAGAGGGGGTGCGGGGCGGGGGGCGGTGAGGGGTTCGGCCACCACCGACTCCAAGGGGACCCCCCCTCCCTTGATAACCCGCATCAGAGTTGAGTGGGGGGTTGGGGTTCAAATCTATGAAAAGTGCCATAAACTTTAGAAGGAAGGATGTGTGGGGGAGGTGGGGGGAGAATGGGCCCACCTTATAAAGACCGCAGAGCCCATGCCCCAGAAGAAAAGTTTCTTCAGGGTAATTAAACTATAAAGCAATCGAAAAGTGCAAAAGCTGAGCGCCCCCACTCCCACCGCCCTCTCTCCACAACCCCCCATAAAACAGTAAAAGGGGAAAAAAGGGTGAGGAGAAAAAAAAAGTAAGGCCGGGTGAGGGGTTTATGGATTCAGGAAATGTCGCTTAGTGTCCCCTTAGAGAGAAACAAAAAAAAAAAAAGGAGAGAGCAAGTGAGAGAGGGAAAGAAAGGGAGAGGAGGGAAGGAAGGAAGGAAGGACAGGGAGGGAGGAAGGAAGGGAGGGAGGAGAGAGAAAAAAAAAAGGAAGCAGGAGGGAAAGCGAGGCCGCCAGGAGGCCAGGGAAGGCGGCGGGCCAGGCACCCGGTCTCTGCAGGAGCGAAAGGTGCTGGCCTGGCCGGCCGCCTGCCCGGCCTCCGGGCCTCCCCGGCCCCGGCGCGAGCTCACCTTGCGGGCGCATCCAGGGGAAGAGCTGTGTGGGCGACGGGCTCTGTTCCGAGCCCTCGGCCTCCTCGCCCAGGCCGCTGGCGGCGGCGAGCTTGCAGTCTGCGTACTGCACCAGGTCCGGGTCCTGCGCTCCGAACAGGCTCTGGCGCTGCAGCGGGTCGTAGCCGTAGAAGTTGCCGGGGTCCCCGTGGCACGCCACGGCGCACGGGTTCTGCTGGTAGGGAGCCGTGGACAGCGACGACGGCCCGTGGTAGAACTCCTGGATTTGCGACGGGTGCTGGAAGCTGCCGCCGCCGCTGGGACCGTACACCACGGTGGGTCGGCCGCCCAGGTCCTGGGCGAAGCCGCAGTCATAATAATTGGGGCGCAGGGACTCCCCGGTTTTGTATTTGGAGAACAGTGAGTTGACGAAATAAGAGCTCATTTTATTGAATTTTGAGGCGGCGGCGGCGGCGGAGGCTGTAGTTGGGGGCTGTTGGGGAGGGGGTGGGGAGGGGGAAAGGGAGGGAGAGAGAGGAGAGAGAGAGAGAGAGAGAGAAGAAAAAACGCGGATTCGCCGGCTCCTTGTCACCCTCGCCAGGAAAGGAGAGGGAAAGGGAGGAGAAAAAAAAAAAAAAAGAAAAGAAAAAGAAAAGGCGAAGAAGATCTCAAAGCCTCCGCACTTTTTGTGATTTCCAGGAATAGAAAAGGACGGAGAAGCCTCCACGTCTAAGCCTGCATGGCAGCCTGGGCTCGCGCGCCCTCCCCCCACCCCCCACCCCCCACACAAAAATATACCGCCACTTAAAGAGGTCCACGCTTCACATTTCGAAGAAGGGATGCCAGTTCATAAACAGTTTTCGGTGATTTACTTCCCTGCAAATGAGTTGTTTCATATTTTGCACTGTCTTTTCGCGATCATTTGCATCCATTACAGACCCCGCATCCTATTGGCTTGTCAGTACTCCTCCCGGACAGAACGCAGAGCGAGGGTGAGAGCGAGAGCGAGCGAGCGAGCGAGCGCCAGGGAGTGAGAAGCGAGAGGGGAGGAAAAAAAAAAAGGAGGGGAAGGAAAAAAACACCCAGGGAGGGAGGGAGAGAGAGAGAGAGAGAGGAGAGGGGGTGTGAGGGGGGAGAGGGAGCGAGAGAGAATGAATACGGATTAAATCTGTTTAACTACCTACATTAATGAGATATCTCTCGCCTCGCAACAAATCAAATACCTTCGCAGACCACCCCCAAAGACTGATGTGGGGAAGTCACGGAAAAAACCCACGCGCAGACACAAGCGCCAGGCGGAGGCACGCTGTTAATTTCGCGATTTTAACGAGGCAATTGGAGTCTTTCTAAATGTCAGGGTCGCTTCGGAAAAATGTAAAAGAACACGCTTTAATTGCGCCGAGTTTTAAAAGGTCCTATAAATGTAATTGGTATTTTAATACAAGTTATCAAATCATACAGCTTCCTCTCCTAAACATATTTTCAAACAAACGAGGTAGTCATATTTAAAGCTTTAATGATCAATTTCCTTATTATTGATAAAGGTTTAACTATCGTGTGGAGGGAGCTGGCTGGGTAACCGGCCCCCCAAAACCGGCTGTAAACTCTTTAACAAACTATAAAACGCAATAAAGCCGAAGTCTGTTGTTGATGCCGCAGCGCATAAAAGCTGTTAGCATTTTACGAGTTCTTTCCTCTACAGCTATAAAACCGCAGCTTCCATAGCCCCCGCCGCCGGGCCGCAGCACCGTGGGGGTAACGGAGCTGAAATGAGACCGATTATGGGGTTTTTCGGTGCAAATGGTGACTTTTCAGAACTCTTCCCTCTCCTCGCAGGAGTCTAGCACCTGCCTGGAGCCCCCACCCCCACCCCCACAGGCCCCTCTCCACCTTGCTTGGGCCACTGCGCACAACTGGCCTTCATTCTGCAGTGGTCAGGGGGTCTGAGAGAGGGCCTGGAGAGGGCTGGTGAGAGGGACAAGAAACTTTCCCAATGAGGGAGCTGCCGGGGTTGGCGTGGCCTGGCAGCTGCCTCTTAGCTCTTAAGCCATTTAACTGGCTCTGGCCTTACCGGGGTGAATGCTAGGCACGGGGTGTGGGGGGTTCCTATAGGTCCTCCAGCACACCAGGCACCTGGGTGAGAGAGGAAGGACACCGATGCCACCACTGGGATAATGCCCCTGTGGGGTTGCCCTGCAGCTGCACCCAGGCCTTGGGGCCCAGAAATCTAGCCCAGGTTGTGCCCAGCCAGCTCCCCAGCAGCTGCCTCTTACAGTCCTCCCCACCTCAGAACGGGCACCGCCAGGCCCATCAATGCCTCCAAAGGAGCCAAGGGCGTGGGGCACCCCAGCTCTGCCACCTGGCCTTGGTGCTGTTGCTTTGAGCTCTCCGCTGCTGCTTCAAGCCCTCGGTGGCTACAAGGCAACAGTTACTGGTCCTGTGTCCTCAGGACAGTGGTAGTGTGCCTGGACCACTACCTAACCTGGCCTTGGGGGTGGCCTCAGGGCTCCCCACTTATCTCTAGTTATGTCTCCTCCGTCTGGGGGTCTCTCCTTAAACCTGGCTCTCCGGGCAGGCCTGGGGACCTGAGGCCCGGGTGGCAGCAGCAGGAGCCTGCTGCCCGATGCCCTCTCACTTGCCCTCCGTCTCAGCTCTGGAGTGCTGGCCAGGATTTGGAAGGCCTGGGGCAGAGGGTCGGAGCCAGTGGACTGTGGAAGAAACTACTCAGCCAAGGGCATGGGGACAGAAGGAAATGGAAGGAAGGGAGAAAGAAGACAGCAGAATTTCCAGCAACTCGGGCAGAGCCCAACGTGGGTATTTTTTGGGTGGTGGTGGGGGAGATAGCGATTTGCTGTCCCAGAAGCACCTCTGCAGGCCTCGCACACCCCAATAAAAAACGAAGCTAGCACCTTTTCCTAGGGGGTCATCTCGCACACCCCAATAAAAAACGAAGCTAGCACCTTTTCCTAGGGGGTCATCCATGGGGTCACTCAGTCCTTCCCAAGTGAATGGTGAGAATGAGAGAGGGACTACAAGGAAGGGGTGGGGGGGGGAGAGAGAGAGAGAGAGAAAAAAAAAGGGAGAGAAGAACCAGGGTCTGGAATTTTCCAGGCGCAGCTGAGGGGGCAAGTGAGGCTGCTGGAGGCTGAGTTAGGGTGTTGAGGATGCGACCAATTTTTTATATCAACTGCGGGGGATTTTATGATGATGATCTGAGAACTCACCGACGAGGTGGAAATTCAGCGGCTTGTTCTCAATCATCCCTACTCCGTGCCAGAAATTCCTGATGGAAGGGAAATGTTTCTATTACAAGAAAAAAAAAAAAAAGAGAGAGAGAGAGAAAGAAAGAGCGAGGGGATAATTTATAAACACCCAGTAGAACGCAGATATAGTGTTGAAACTCAATTTGGGGGAGACACTCCGCCTGCCCGGGTGCGCGCGGTGCAGGGTGCAGACCCAAGCCTGCGGTGGGGTGCCGGGGTGCTGGGCTGGGGGCGGGGCGCTCACCTTCCAGGCGGGTTTGCAGGGGCAACCGCGGGAGGACACGAGGAGGACCGCAGAGACGGAGCACGGCGCCCCGAACGAAAAGTGTCCGAGTCCAGGCCTCAGGCTGCGTATCTTTACTGCCCAGGACCAGAGGCAGGCCGGGGGTCCGGCCCTGCGCGCCGGAGCCGCAGCCTCACCTGGTAGCCGCAAGGCGTGCGGTGGGAGCTGCAGCTCCCGGTCCCCTCCGCCCCTGGTGATCCCACTCCCGTTCGGCACACGCGCTGTTTTTTTTTTTTTTGGGGGGGGGGTCCAATACGGGACTCGGAGAAACGTCCCGAGGAGATGTCCGAACCGGGGACCCCCTGTCCTGCGCGCTCGGCCCGGACTCCATGCGCACAAAGGGATCCGCAGCCGGCGCCAAAGCACAAGCTGCGGCTCTACTGGCTTGCAAAGCACCGCGGAAGCTACGGCTCGGGTCCCCACCCCGAATGGGCAGCCCCTGGCCGGCTCACCGGGGTCCCCCGCCGGCTTGAGCCGCCCGCCTGGCCGCCGCCACGGTTGGGTTGTGGACCTCCGACCGCCTGCCGGGCCCGCTCACCTGCCCCGCTCTCCCGCCGCTGCAGACACAGCTGTCTCCCCACTCCGTGGACAGGCTCAGTCGCCCGAACCGGTTCTCTTGGGCTTGCACCCATTATTCCTATTATTACCACTATCCCCCGATTGCACGCATTGGCGGCCACAATGGGTGAGAGGAGCAATGAACCGGCCCTCGTGGGAGCAGCTTCAGAACACTGACCCTTGGAGGAGAGAGGGGGACACGATTGTACCTGAAATCTATAAAGTAGGATGGGGGTGGAGGCCGTAACGAACCCTATATTTTTATTACGTGCAAATTATTCATGACTTTTGATAGCGCTCCTTTCCTAGATGCGAGGCCGAGCAAGGTGCAACGCAGAGCCGCTGGCGAACCCGGCCGGCCGCACCGGGGATTTTCGCATGGAGCAAGGCTGCCATCTAGCGGCCATGCTGCCAAAATGCGCCAGTGCCAGCCACACAACCACCAGCCAGAAAAACTTCTGATTATTAACTGGAAAAAAGGGAGGTGAAAGAAGAGGGATTGGCATCTGGAAACGATTCATGAAATCGTGCGGATCAGCTCCAAGAAAAAACGGAGGAGGGGTAAAAGAGGAAGAAGAAGCTCTAAGCTTTTTTTCCCCTCTTTCTACCTGCATCTCTCTTCATCCTCCTACCTAGTCCTTACTCTCTGGCAGACACCGTTGACCCCCGAACAGAGAGGGACAAGGGCACTTTGCCAACTCCTCAGGATCATTACAAACCCCAGAGAGAAACAGGTGGAATTTCCTGGGGCAGAGGGATGGAAGAGGCCTGGAAGAAAGAGACAAAACTGTGGAAGAGTTCAGAGGCATCCCCGCAGACCTGCGCGCTGAGCCTCTGTGTGTGTGTGTGGGGGGGGGGTCCTTCTGCTTGGCGACCCTGTATTCTGGACAAAAGACCCCAGAATCCGGACTGAAGCTTTGGCCGTTACAAAGTGACCCTCCCTGCCTCCCTTCCTCTCTTTGCCCCCTTCCGCTGGGGCCCACTCCATCGCTCCCCCACCCCCAGTCCCAGTCCCGGGGCGGCTGCCCCGCCATGGGCCACGTTGTCCCCTCCCCAGTGCCCGCAGCCCGGGGACCCAGCTGCGTGTGGCTCGCTCGGCCGCTCGGCTCCGGAAAGCTTCCCTTCGCTGTTTGCTTTGCTGCTGTTTAGTTTCTTAACCTTCAGAAATTTATACGCTATAAACTTTTATAGCGGTCATATTCTTTTATTGCTGCGCGCCCAGCACTGAATTCCTCTCCCGGCCTCTCTCCGCGCGCACTCTCCCGGCCTCTCTCTCTCGGAATAGCGCTAGCTCACTCTTTCGCTCGCTCTTTTATGACAACCGACTTCCCCACCTCCGGCTTCCGAGCCTCCACCTCGATTTTGTTTGTCTCCGAAGGAAGCCGCCCCAGCTCGGGACGCAGAGACCCCCGCCGCCGCCCGAGGCCCCCTACCCCACCGTGCTGCGCCGCGGGTTCCAGTCTCACTGGTTTTATTTCTTTTTAAATGTGTATTTATTTATTTGCGGTTTCTTTGAGCAGAGGCCGGACTCCTTGGCTTGCTCTCAGCACCAGCCGGGCCCGGGGACCCAGGACAGGGAGGGCACCCGCGGCAGAACCAGATCCGTTTTCTAGTTCTGTTGGGAACCTCCACACGGGGCATCCTCCCCGCCGTGCGTGCGGGAAGCCTGGCGGGGCCTGGCTGCGTCTTTTTCCACTTTCTCTTTTTCGTTGGATCAGGGTAGGCCTAGCCTCTGGGCTCGGTCACAGGCTCGTGGCCCTCGCCTTGGTTCGAGCCTCACCTGGGCCCCAGCCCGCAGGGTCTGGGCGGGCTGCTGGGTGTGCGGGGGTGTCCCTCGGGGAGAACGCGGCGGGAGGCGGGCGGAGGAGCGCTCGGCCGCGGCGCGGGTACAACCGCTGGGCGTCACGATCCGCCAGGGCAGGGAGGAACAGAAAGGTCTAAAAGGGACACGGAGGGGCCCACTGACCTCGACCCGGATCCCTCGGCCTGCCGTTCCACAGTCTGGGGGTGCTGCGCCCCAGCTCCACCTTGGGGTGTACGTGGCAGACCCCAGGCGGGGTGCCGTTAACCCCAAAGCTCCTCCACCCTCCCGGGGGCCTTAGCCTCACCCCTGGAAGCAGGAAGAGGCTGCGGGGAGCTTCCTCCTTCTGCCCTGGCCTCTCTGTGCGGTGGCGGCCAAACCCAGGTGCGGTTCTCCGCACGCCGAGACCGGAAGTGTTTTCAGAGGCCGCATGCTGCGCGCTGGGCTTTCCCTCTGGCTCGCTGGGTGGTGGGCAACTGAGGGCGACCCCAGAGCCCAAAGAGACGCAGTCCCCTGTCCTTGCACTTTCTGGGCCTGGCTCCCGAAGCAACCCGAAGCTGTGCAGGGCAGCCGTCCATGCATTGTTGGGGGGAACCCAGGGGCACCGTGGGGATCTCTCCTTATGGCCAGCACCAAAGAAGACACGAGAGATTTGTTGTCTAGAGTGACATATATATATTTTTTTGTTATTTTCTTTTTCTTCCAAAACAAACAGAGCTTCTTAGGCTCCTCACCCGCCCCCACTTCTACCCACCCCAACCCTCCCTCCTCCCACCCTAAAAGCAACGACTAACAAGCGAGACGATCACCACCACCCCCCCCAGCCCCCCAAAGAAATCACAAAACACGAGCACAATTTCACGACAGCCAAGGACAAAGCGAAGAAGTTCTACTGGAAGTGCCCCCTCCCTCGCAGGGTCGGGAGGCGCAAGGGCGCGTGTCCGCAGGGTGGAGAGCGGGGAGCGGGCGAGAAATGGGGGGTCCTCTGGCTCCTGGTGCTGAGGTGCAGCGGCGCCTCTGGGCCCTGCGCGCGGGCCTGTTCCCAGAACAGGGAACAGCAGCAGCGGTGCCGCCGCCGACCGCCACCCGCCACCCAGACCGGCCGAGCTGGAAGCCAAGCCCACAGGGGCCGGGTCTCCCGGGGGGCGCACAGGAGGGAGCAGGGCGGCCGCTGGGCATCGCGGGGGTCCTCCACAGGGGCCGGGAAGGGGAAGAACACGCTAAGCTCCGAGCGGGCGAGCGCTGGGGCCTCGGCTGCTCCCGGTCCCCCGACCAGTTCTCCCAGAATCAATTCACAATCAATGCTCCAGGGCCTTGCTGTCCACAGCGGGGTTGTCCTAGCAGGGAGTGGCGTGTGTGTGTGTGGGGGGGGGGTAGTTTCTATACAGGACCTCTAGACACGTTGCTACGAGGTGGATTTGCCCAATTTGCTCTCAGATCTAACGAGGATGTGGGATGCAGGATGCGGGACAGGTGGAGAGCAAGGAAAGCTACACTCTAGGTGCAGCGGGGCACAGGCGTGCCCAGGATGGCAATGACAGGGCTCTAAGCATCCGCTGCAGGACATCCCTTAGTTGAAAGGAAAGTTCATGCAGAATTAAACATTTCCTGCACCAAAGTGTGTGTGTGTGTGTGTGTGTGTGTGTGTGTGTGTGTGTGTGTGCAGTTAGGGAGATCTTCATATACACACTCTGGCTGTCTTTTCCACCCTACTCTCTCGGGGACTGGGTCTGCCCCAGGGAACAGTGTGTGTACCTTAGCAGGGCACCTCATCCACAAGTCTGCCTCCAGACCTATCCCTGCTGTGTTTTTGCATCTGGGTTAGAACCTCAGCTGTCCAGATGGTCTGGGGGCTGTTCTGCCAGACTGGGGGGGTGTCACCTCATGGGATTCCACTCCCTCCCCTTTTTGCCATGCACCCTAGGCATTGTAGAGTGTGTGCCTTCTGGGCTGTAAGCAGTGGCGGGTCCCTGGGTGACTCGGGGTGGGGCTCGGGGAAGGAAGGGGGAGCAGCTGGAAGTCAGGGCTGGGGCTTCCCAGGAGGACGCCCGAGCTCCACCAGGGCTGTCTTCCCCTGTCACCCTCTTAGGGATCAACTAACCGCTACCTTCTAACTCAACACTAACTCCTTCCAGCCGTGGTTGGGGGCACAGGGGGCAGTGTTTGGGAGAGTGGGGTGGGCGAGGCAGGGGAGAGAGGGTGTGGGAACAGATACGGGGGTCTCAGAAGAGGCAGACCCTTCCCCATGCACTCAAACACATTCCAGACAGCACTGGCTTTGCAACCTTTGCATAAATAAGAGTGAGACGGGGAAGGGCTGGGGCGGGCCCCTCTCTACTCTTTGCCCTGCTCTTTATTCATTTTCTTCATTTTCATCCGCCGGTTCTGAAACCAGATTTTGACTTGTCTCTCACTCAGATTGAGGAGTCTGGCCACTTCGTGCCTACGGTCCCTGGTGAGGTACATATTAAACAGAAACTCCTTCTCTAGCTCCAGCGTCTGGTATTTGGTGTAGGGACAGCGCTTTTTCCGGGACGAGCGGGCGTGCAGCCAGTTGGCGGAGGGGTTGGCTGAAAGAGAAGCAGGGACAGAATCAAAGAAGGAAGGGAGGGGAGGGCCCTGGACTACTGGGGCGTGCACCCCCCCTCCCGCCAGTCCTCCTGTCTCCACTCCCTAAGATGCCCCCCCAGAAGAGGCTGTCAGACAGGGGTTTCCCCCAGGTGAGAAGCCTCCGCAGAGGACACTCCCCTGCAGACCCACGCTGAGCTGCTCAAGTCCTCCACGTGCACCTTTAACAGGTTAGAACTCAGCCTGGCGCCCCCCAGCATCACTGCACCCTGGCTGACTTCAAGGGCCCTGAGAGGTGAGGGGTAGCAGTGCAAGGGCAAGGGGGCTCCTGTGCAGCTCTCCCACGCTCCCACGCCTGTCCAGGCCACATGGCAGCAGGCCAGTGCAAGGCCGGGGTTATGTAGCTATGTCCCCTGCCCCAACCCTCACTGCCACACACCCGTGTCGGTCCACACTGAGAGCTACAAACCCCCAGCGCACGCCAATTCACACACAACCCAATTGGATCCATTTATCAACAGCAGCCCCTGGACAGGGCAGCACCAGGGGCTCCTGGATAACTTATGGCTGCAATAGTATCTCCTCGGTCTGCTGTTCAGCTCTCAATACAACTTCAGGGAAACTAGGACGCAAAACGGCTGCAGTGCCAGGGGGAGGCCATAGCACACCCAGCCTCCCCGGGGTTCCTGGCGGCGTGGGGCAGGGCAGAGCACACAGGGTGACCCAAGAGGCACAAAGAACGCCAACACACACACTGGGGCCTCTTCCGCCTGCCTCTCTGACACAGAACTTGCCAACCAGAACGGAGCTCATCACACATCACAACCACTCCACCAACACCACCGTCCTTGTCCTTCTCCCCACATGCGAAGCATTGACTGTCCAAAATTAAAAAAACAAAAAGTTTGCTCATCCTGTCCTCGGAACCGGGTCCTACCAACTCAATGTGTGCTATTTCCTTAATGCAACTGCCTGGGATGCAACCCGCAGCCACATTAAATATGGAAGAGGAAAAAATTTGTTAATAATTGATCCTAGCCAAATGGTCGCCTTGATATAATGGCTTTCCAGATAGAGTATGAAGGGAACTGGGGTAGGTGTGTGTGTGTGTCTGTCTAGGGGTGGGCACAGTCTGTTTGCATGCCAGTAAGTGAAAGAGGCGAGTCCCCAAATGCCAGCCTGGCAGGATGGAGGTGGCAGGACCCCCAGGGACCTGGGGGAAGCAAGGACGCCCCCACAAGGTTCCCAGGACCCTTCTGGTGGTGGGCAGGGCGAGCTGACTGCCCACTCCCTCAAAGCCTAAGGGGTACCGACCCACCATCCTGTGGGTTATTGTTTGGGGCCAACAACCCCCCCCCCACCAATTTGCCCTTCTCAACCTTAAAACAACCAAACGCGGGGGCTCCCCTCCCCTCTCAGCTGACTTAGGGTGTGTGGGGGGGGTGTGCCCCTGGAGGGATGAGAAGTGAGCGGAAAGTTCTCTCTCTCTCTCCTTCCTCTTGCCCCTCCTCTCCCCGGGATCCCTGGGGAGGTCTCCTCCACTCGCGCAGGCTGCCGGCGGCCAGGAGGTTCGGAAGCGATTCCCGGACTCCCCGCGGGGCGGACCTGCCCCAGCTCGGGCAGCCGAGGAGCCCCGCGGAGAGCCACGCGGGGAGGTGTGGGGAGGTGGAAGTAGGTAGGAAGCCGCGATTTGGGGCGAGGACGCGGGGAGCAGAGGCGGTGGCCCGAGGCAAGGCTCCCGGGAGGGGCCGGCGCCCCCGGGAGGGGGCTCCGCCAGCGCCGCCCGAGCCTCCCCGCCCCTCCCGGCGCCCGGCGCCGACCCCGGCCGGCTGGCTGCGGAGGCTCCTCCGCCAAGCTGTTGCATCGCAAATAAAATCCTAATGAGCCCCCCGCCCCTTCCCCTCGGCCGGCTTTTACGGTCTGCGCGTGGCGCTGGCAGCCCTGCCAGCCTCTCGGTCCCGGGGCCGGGCCCCGAGGGCTCCAAGCACGGTGGCCATGCGCCCTCCCCGGCCTTCGCCAGCTCCTCTCCCGACCCGGCCGTCGCCGGTCTCTTTTCCCGGAACCAGGGCCAGAGAATGGGAAGAGAGGACGGAGGGCGAGGCGAGCGCGTCCCGCGGCCCCAGGCCCCCCGCCCGCAGGACTCGGGGTGGGGGCGGCGCCCTGCTGGCAGCCGCGGCCGCCCCTTCCCTTCCCTGCTGCCTTCCTTCCTCTCTCCTCCGCCCTGGCTCGCTCTGCGCTCCGCGTCGCGCTGTCCCCCTCACATTGTCCGCAGTTTATGGCTTCTCTCTCCCCTCCCCCTCGCCGGGCCGTCGGCCTGGGTATTTCCTCACTTTTTTTTTTTTTTATAACTTACTTTGATCCGGCCTCTCTTTGTCCTCGCTTCCTTCGCAAATTTTATTGTCCCCGTAGCCGGGTCTTTGATTAGTCAGGACGGCCTCCCTGCCCGCCGAAGTTTCCAAACTGTACTCGGGCGTGCCCTGCGCGCCCAGCAGCGGCTCCGCCTTCACCGCCGCCTGGCCCTGCCCCGGGGCAGCTTCTCCGCGCGGCGCCGGCTCCAGCCAGGTGCGGAGGTACCTGCTCTCGGCCGGCGGGACGCCCTGGGGCTGGATGTAGGGGTGGTAGACGGACGGCAGGCTCCCGGACGCGTGCGGGCTCAGCGGCGCCCAGGAGGCGCCGAACACCGGCGCTTTGGGCTGGAAGCTGCAGGAGGGAAACTCCAGGTGCTCCGCGTGGCCCGGCTGCCGGGGGCTCGCGTACTGGCCGGAAGGAAACTTGGCTGGAGGCGCGTCCTCGCTCTCGTGACTTATGATCGAGTCGACATAATAGCTGCTAAGCGTCCCAGAAATGGACATTCTCAGACATCATCCGTGCGCTCGCAGGGGGAAGGGAAGCGCTCGCGCGGCGGCGCCCAAGCACGGAGAGAGGTGGCACCGGGACCCGTGTGAGGGCTTTCGGACGCGACCCCCCCCAGCCCCCCACCCGCCAACCCCCACCTCCTGCTCAACTTCTCAGCCAACAAAGTACAGTGGAGCAGCCCGGCTCGGCGCTCCTTGCAAAATGATTGGTCAAAGTTTTGCCGACTGCCTGATAAAGCGTCAGCTCCGACATAAATCAATCGGGCGAGGGGGCTGCGCTCGCGCTGTCACCCGTCCTCACCGCATTCCATATCCAGGATGGATTGTTTTATGCTGATGCAATGTGCTATCACGTCAGGGCTCCGGCGGCCACGTAACCTCAGCCGGAGCTGCCCGCCGCCTGCCCCCCCCACCCGCCCCCGCCTCTGCAGGGGGAGCGGGGCCGGGTGCGCAGTTCTCGCCACGGGGTGGCGGGGGCGGAGGGAAGCGGCGGGCAGCTGCGGGAGGGACGCGGGCTGCGGAGCCCTCTCCCCGGGCGCGTCCGGGAGGGAGGGAGGGAGGGAGCCGCAGCCCCGGGGAGCAGCCGGAGAGGCCCGACTGGATAATTAAAGAGGAGGTGGTCCTGCCCCCCCCACCTGCACCTCCACCCCGCAGGCCCTCATTTCCTCCCTCTGTCCCCTTGACATAAGATGTTTATTAAACAACAGCAGCGCCAGCCACCCACGGGAGATGAAGTGACGCGGACGGGGGAGAAGTTGGGGTTTCATAGGACGCTGCAGCTTGGCAGGGGGGCGCTCCATGCACTCTTTGCGGAGGGATTTACCTGGCGCGGATTGGGGCGGGAGGGGGTGTGGAGAAGCTTGCTCCTATCCCTCGGTAGTTGAGGGAAGGAGAGCGGGGCGCCAGGCGGGGTTGGTGGATCCAAGGTTTGCCCTGCTTGGCGATGGAGGGATTTCGCTGGCCCTGCAAACTTCAGCCTGGAAACAGTGAACACAACTGACCCCAGCGCTCTGACCAGAGGATTGGGGGTGGCAGGGTGCACAGCCATCTCTCCTCGCCTTCATTTAAAAACTGCGCAGGCCCCTAAAATTGTCCCCAAGAGGGAGCTGATCAGGGTAGAGGTACCGGTCCCTGAAAGGTCACCGCAGCAGGGGAGGGGGCACCTAATGGGTTCCCACGAAGCCCGGGAGCGGGCGCCCAGCTAGCTCCGCTGACACTTAGGAGGAGCCCCCCACTTCACCCCGAGTCTGCTCCCCCCACTCTCCGGATGCCTTGCCCTAGCGGGCTGGGGCACCGGCCTGGGCCGTGAGTGAGCAGCCGTAGCTCTGCCAGCCGCGCCTCCGCCGTCCTGCGTCGGACCTCCCCAGCCGGTGCTAGGCCCCCAACCACAGCCCTGCTCCCCCAGCGTCTGCCTGGGCGGCTTGGAGCTGGGGCTTTGCGGCCCCTTATCGGACCACCGGTTTTCTTTGGGCTGGGTTTGGTGCCGCTCGATCCGGGCAGATTTCTTTCGGCAAGTCTCTGACCCTCCGCGGGCCCGGAGCGCAGTCCTTTGAACAAAAGCCGGGCCATTCTAACTTGGGGTTTTATTTTTTTGGGGGGGGGGGAGGGAGGTCACGTACCCTGTGCCCCGCGGTAGGCTGCGGATCACCTCCACACACGCACATTGCCGCCCGCGTTTTCTTTCCAAATGAAGCCATCTCGTGTCATTACGTGTGAAATACGAGGGCGAAGCGCCATATTTCTTCACATTATGGCGATTTCAAAATGATTTTTTAAAGATCAGTGCAGGCACCCAGCCGGCCCCCTCCGAGGCCTCCCCCGCTCTCCGAGGGCGACAGCCCGGCAGATCTGGAACCAAACAGCGTGAAGATCTGCGTGGGGATATTTTTCCCCATAGGACCCAAGTGGGGAAACAAAATCCGATGCAAATTCTTCTAAGTGGCAGTTGGACGCTTGGGGAAGGGCAAGGAGCTCCCTTGACTCAGCTAGGCGCTGAGCGAATGCATCACAGTTAACTCAAAACACCTGTTTCCGATCTTTCAGACGTAAGGGGTGCGTTGTGGGCTTTACCTCTAATAAATACACTCTTCAGGGAGTGAGAAAGCAAAAAAAAAAAAAAAATCCCCTCCCCCGCCATAAATAACAGACTTACGAAGCATGGCGGCCTGGGTTTATGATTTTTTTTTTCTGGAGTATATAAATTAGGGCCCAAAAGGCCATGTGCACTGGGGGCTGACACAGGGGCTGTATTTATTTATGGAGAAGTCAGCCCGGCAGGGCTGCTGTGGAGGGCCAAGCTGGGCAGACACTGGGCTGTGACAGCCACCTTACTGCTGTCCCTGGCCCTGCCTCCGTTGCAGGAAGTGAGAGGGAAGACACTGCAGTGACTCCTGGCTTCTGCTCTGTGTCTCTGTAGACCGGGTCCAGGTCTGTGGGTGGCTGTCCACCTGGGGAATCGGGCCCAATCCCTGCCGGTGCCCTGGAGTCCCAAAGCCTCTTTTTAGCATTTCTGATGGAGGAGTCTAGATGGTTGGGGGACAGCTTCTAAATAACACTTGGTGGGGCCTTGGTCTTCCTCCCACAGAAGGGGGTCCCGAGGCCTGCAGTCTACATCCCACCTCCCTCCAGGTGGGGATGCGGGTGTTCCAAGCAGTGAGACCCATGCCAGCCAAGCTTGCTAGAACTTTCTGCTGCTCCAGATTGGAGTTCAACTCCAGCTGAGGCAAGTGATGAAAGGGCCAGCTATGAGGGTGCCCCTCTGTGAATACCCTGAGAACCTGTGGACCTCACCCCACACTCCTTTCCTCCCACCGGGGGGAAAAAAAAAAAGCCTAATTCTATTTTCTCCACCAGACCAAGTTAGCTGAGGGCAGGCAGGACTTGGGCCCCTGGAGCCAGCCGGTGGGGGTCACTTTGTCTACAGAGAGCAGCAGCACTCCACCCCCAACCCTAAAGAGAAAGGAAGAAAACCCTGCCTTCTCCCAGCCTCTTGCCATTCCTGTTCCTGCAGCCAGCCGGGCCTGAACACAGCCCAGGCTGTAGCTGGTGGGGTGGGCAGGCAGGGGGACCTGGAAGCCCCTGGCCATGCTGGGGCCCAGAGCAGCCCAGAGGGAGACCGGCCGGGGTCGGAAGAGCAGAGGCTGACCTCTTGCCAGGACCAGGCGGTGAGTACTTGGGTGCTTCGGTGCTTCGAGGGTGACTTTTCACAGACTGCTTGCTAGTTCAGGGAGAGAGAAAGAGAAACATCTAGAGGGAGGGAAGGAAAACAAGGAGAGAGAAGAAATACAACCCAGAAATGAGAGAAGGGAAAAAACTGTTTTTAATGCACCAGCTAAGCTTGAGATTATCGAATGCCGGATTTAAAGAGATGTGTGGGTCCCATACGGAGATTTCAAACCAGCATTTTTGCTTGGGGAGTCCTGTGTGCAAACTGCTGGGCTGCATCTTGCATCTAGAATAAGCGGTGAATAAATCTGCCCAACTCTAATACTAAACGTGCTTGGGTATTTTGTATATTGGCCTTAATTGTGCAAGTGGGGCTGCGTGCATCACCCTTGTGAGTGATGTGGGTTAACGGTTCCTCTCGTCGAAGAAGATCTAGGAGCCAAAAGCTTGTGTGTACCTTTCGATAACCATCATGCCACTACAGGGAAGGCAACAATTTTATATTTGTATATTTGTGTGGCACTAAAGTATCAGCTGGTTCGGCAGCCTCCCCTGAAAATCTTCCCCTTGATTTTGTAGATTTGATATTCAAACAAGATGCAAGCCGCATCCTGGAACAAGTGTTCTGGGATTTGATTTCAACTTCCAAGCCACTTCCCTGGGAGGTTCAAGAGGATGCCTCCTGTTAGGCTAGGAGTCCTGAAAACCTGGGACTCTCGGAGCCCAAAAACCCGTGGCTGTGTTATCTTTACCCCAAACTGCGGGGACAGCAGGCGTGCTGCGGGGCTTATCTCACAGTGCTGAGGGGTGTGCAGGCTTTGGTATTTGTGCTTACAAGCCGAGGTAGGCAGGGATGCTGAGCTGGGCTGAGCCCCCAAGTCCTCCGCTAACTGTGAAGGTCACAGAACAGCGCAGTGTCCCCGCTGCTGCCCGCGTCCCTCCCCAAGCACTCGGAGGGATCCCTTCTGCTGCAGGATCAGAGAGTGGTTCCCACTCAGGGAGTGTTGTGTGTGGGGGGCGGGGGTAGGAAGAAGTGTGGGTGCTCTGGCGAAAAAACTAAGGCCCCAGAAGCCCCCGCCCCTTACTCAGGATCCAATGTGATCTCTCAAACAGGCATTATCCCATTGAACAGGCACATACACGCACACGCGTGCACACACACATCGCCAAAGTGGGGATCCTAATGGAGACATAACGAAATCTGGGGCCAGACCCCTGTCATGGGACGCCAGGGGTGAGAGGAGGAAGGCTGGAGAGGTCAGGGGCTCAGGCCACACTCAGCCATCTCCTGCCCAGCTTTCCCAGCCCTCCAGTCTGTCCAGGGCCATGGTGGGGGAGCGCCTCCTTGGGGGGGGGTGTATCCAGGAGGCCAAACGGGGCGGGTGGGTGCAAAGGAGCCGAGCAGGTAGAAGGTTATTACGGAATTGCTTCCATAAAACCTGTGGCTGTTGTAAAACTCTGCTTTCCAAAGACTTTATTTCCTCCCTTCTCTCTAACATCCTCCCTCTTTTTTTTTTCTTTCTTTTTATAGCACATTTCCTGGGAGGGGGTCGGCCAGAGCTGGAAGGCTCCCAGTGACCTGGCAGGTCCGTGAGCAGCAAGGTAGGGTCCCAGGAACCCCACCACCGCCAGTCCAGTCTGTGCCCGCTTGGCTTATGAAGATAATGGGTTGAAAGCAAGCTTTCTCCAGGGCTGGGGGTGAGTCTCCCCCAGATCCCTGTGCCCTAGCAGAAGCCTCTGGCTCATAGGCCAGCCACCCCTCCCTCCCTCCCCGGGGCCCTCCAAGCCAGCCTGGCGCCACTGCAGCCCCATCCGGTCGGGCCTCTTTTCAGCAGCCATTTGCACATTTCCTCTGCATCAAGTGGGTCAAAGTTTGGGAACAAAAGTGAACTTATGTGGTTCACGTAAGCCCGCCTCC